GTCCCACCCCGATTATAAACTCTTCCAACATCTTCCATCAAGCAGAAGAAATAAAAGCTTAAGCACTTGTACCAAAAGATTCAAGAACAACTTCTTCCCTGCTGTTATTAGACTTCTGAATGGACCTCTCAAATTTTAAATGCAATGTAGGTCACTCTGTGCACCTTGTCTGCAGCCATAACATTGTGTTCCTCACTCTGTTCTATTACCCTTATGCACTTTGTATGATATAATCTGCCTGTACTGCACGCAAAATAAAACTTTTCAATAGGCCTGGGTACATACGACAATAATAAATTAAATCAAAATCAAAAAATCTCTGTCCTCTGTAACTGTGATGTGGAAACCTATGACTTCATCCCACCTTCATTATCAGTTCCACCTAAATCGATTCTATATTTTGATATTTTGAACCAAGATCATTTCACACTCTTGGCTGATCTCATCCTTTATTAACAGAACCCATCAACTTTAACTTTTTGTATATACTAATGAAATGTCAAATGTCTTTGAATATTCTCTACTAGCTATCATATTCTTATTTCATTCTGTTTGTGCTATCAGTTATGTTGCACATATTCAGTTAAAGAGCCTTTTTATAGTTTTATAGTCTTTTTATAGTTTTGCTGACTGATCTTGTATGCTAGTCTGCTGTTATCTTTGTACACCCTCTCCCTTGCTGTCACACTCCTAGTTACCGTTATCCATATGATTTCCATGTAATATTGTCTTGTCCTGTCTAACTTTGCAAATCTCCCATCAAGTGGACCACCTTATCACCATAAAAAGTCTAGCTGTCAGAGCTCTCTGCAGCCCTAGTTGTATAATTTGCTAGTACCCTAGTCCCAGTGCAGCTTGGGTGAAGGCTACACCAAGCAGTGTGCCGTAAATCAAAACCCGTTTCTCCCACACCACCCTTTGAACCGTGCATAATTACAGGGTGAATCAATGCTTTTCCATTATCCATTGTTTTTTGCCTTGCAGAGTGGAAATGGATAATCGAGAAACATATGGTTTATGTTGTAATTTGGTGTGCAACCTCGTTAACCTTTCAATAGATCTTCAGTGTTATACATACACTTGAAGGGGGCTAATTTTTTAAACTCCTATAATAATTATGTGATTATCAAATAGATGTAACACAAGGCTTTGGGTGTTCCAATGTACAGCATCACTCTGCTCTGAGGATATCTATTACTTGTGTCCTTCCTATTAAAGTGTCTGACTTTCCCGATACAACTGTTACTTTAAAAGTCAAGAATAAAGCCAAGTTTTAAGTGTGTTTTTCCAGTAATGATTTTGGTGGGGGGGACAATGTATGACATTAAGCTGTCTGGTAGGAAAGGTATGCGATAAATTGAGAGAATAGATTGGAACAATCCCCTCTAGTGACCGATAATTTGAATTCCCAGAGCTCAACAAGATTTCAAGTTTTGAGACAGTTACTATATTTTAAAAAAACTAGTATTCCATAAGTAACTTATACTGTACAGAAAAATTCCCTTATTAATGCTTTAACCCAACAGAAATATTTCAATTCTGAAGAAGAGTCATACCAGACTCAATATTAACATATATTTCTCTCCGCAGATGCAGCCTGACCTGCTGAGTTTCTCTAGCATTTTGTTTGTTTCAAAAATCCCCTTCCGTGGTTATTCGTTACTCATTGATGAAAAGGTCACACCATTCTCCAGAAACTAGTAGAAAGTTCAGCCAAGTAACATCTATTCTCAAGCTGACTTTCAGGATGTGGGTTATTGTGGACATCCCTGACACAAGCTAAAGCTATCCTAATCCACTGATACCACAGTGTGGAGCTGGAGGAATACAGCAGGCAAAAATCAAACGCAATAAATGCAAGTACAGTCAGCCTTGTATATAGGACTTCATCGCAAACAGCAGGTGCAGGTGTATCATTGAGAGCAGTAAGATTTTTTTGGAGGAATAGTGATCATGGGAGAAGTCACAATGTATAAGCACTTCCTCCAGTCTCATTTGGTCTCCCCCATGCTTGCTGCTCAAGCTCCTACAGGCAAAGTTTTTCTCTCCCTTGCTGCTCCTTCAGAAACAAATCTGAGATTAGGGCATCAGGAAGGTGTAGAGCAAGGGAAGTTTGATTGGAGGTGGATCCATTGACCATTAAATTTCAGCATCTTTCTGGAGGCCTATGAGAAGAAGCAGAAGTCACAAAGAGATTGGAGGAATCAATCATTAAACCCAGTAATAAGAACGGGGAGCAGGCCTGGTGGAACTGTCTGCACCAAGAAAGGCAGGAGCCACTGGAGAGAGAGCCCATCTCGTGTTAAATTTCCTGTGATCTTGTGACTTTGAGGTTTTGAATGTATTGATTGGGCTCCATTTTGCCATTAATTTTTCATTCCTCAAGACTGTTTTTGTTTCTACAGCATGGACATCTTAAAATGGAACTCATTTGAGTTTTTTATCAGTGACATTTTGGATCTTCTGATGGATCTGCTGTAAATATGTTTCCTAATCCAATTGTTTCTGACCTGGTGAATAGCTGTTACTGTGGAGTAATATTAAGGCACAAAGATAATAATGGTCTCCAGTTTGATTCCTGTTTAGCGCCAGGATTTTAGTTGAGGTGTTTGTGGTGGTTGGCAGAATTGTACTTAAATTTTGGATCATTGGGATCTTTTCAGGGGTAGAAATGATCTGTATAAGAGGGATGGGTTCCACTTGCATTGGAAGGTGACCAATATCCTTGCCAGGAGATGTGCTAGTGCTTTTTAGGAGACTTTAAACTAGTAAGGTGGGTGGGGGGAGCCAAAGCGATAGTGAGAAAAGGCTGAGGCTGGTACAGTAGGGAAGCAAGTCAAATAGTCGAAGCGTTCAAGAGCTTGGCAGAGAACAAGGTAAGACTGATAAATTAAACTGCATTTACTTCAATGGAAGAGGCCTTTTTTTTTGCTTTATTCATTCACAGGATGAGGGCATCACTGGATGGGCAGCATTTATTGCCCACCCCTAATTGCCCAGAGGGTAGCTAAGAGTCAGCCACATTGCTGTGGGTCTGGAGTCACATGTAGGCCAGACCAGGTAAGGGTGGCAGTTTCCTTCCCTAAAGGACATCAGTGAACCAGATGGGTTTTCCCAACAGTCGACAACAGATTCAAGGTCATTATTAGACTCTTAGTTCCAGATTTTTTATTTTATTCAATTCAAATTTCAATACCTGCCATTGCAGGATTCAAACCCGGGTCCCCGGAACATTATCTGGGCCTCTGGATTAACAGTCCAGCGATAATCCCTTTGACAGATAAGGCAGATGAATTTAAGGCATGTTTGGTAACATGGGACTAGGATATCCTAGCCATGGCAGAGACATGGCTCGGGGATGAACAGGACTGGGAGCTAAATGTTCCAGGGTATAGATGCTATAGGAAGGATAGAAGGAGAGGCAAGAGAGGAGGGGGATAGTGTCTTTTGGTTAGGGATAGCATTATGGCTGTACTCAGGGAGGATATTCCTTGGAGATAGTCCAGTGAAGCTATGTGATTGGAACTGAGAAATAAGAAAGGGATGATCACCTTGTTGGGATTGTATTATAGGCCACCCCCAATAGTCAGCAGGAAATTGAGAAGCAAATGTGTAAGGAGATCTCTGATATCTGTAAAAAGAAGAGTGCTTTAATGATAGGGGATTTTAACTTTCCAAACCTAGACTGGGACTACCATAGTGTTAAGGACTTGGGTGGGGAGGAATTTAAGTGCATACAAGAAATCTTTCTTCTACCTACTAGAGAAGGAGCAATACCTGATCTTCTGTTGGGAAATAAGGCAGAGCAAGTAACTGAGGTGTCAGTGTGGGAGAACTTTGAGGCAATTGATCATAATTCTAATAGTTTTAAAATAGTGATGGAAAAGAATAGAACTGATCAAGAAGTTAGAGTCCTAAATTAAAGTAAGGCCAATTTTAATGGTGTTAGACAGGAACTTTCAAAAGTTGACTGGGGAAGGCTGTTCACAGGTAAAGGGACAATTGAGAAATGCGATCACGAGTTCAGAGGCAGTATGCTTTTGTTAGTGTGAAGGGCAAGGCTGGTAGGTGTAGGGAATGCTGAAAGACTAGAGAAATTGAGGCTCTGGTCAAGAAAAAAGGAAGAGGCATATGTCAGGTATAGACAGCTGGGATCAAGTGAATCCCTCAGAGTATATCAAGGCAGTAGACATCACCTTAAAAGACTTAGTTATGTTGAATTTGCATTACAGAAACTCAATCGGTGTTTATGCTCCACGTGAGTTCCCTCCCTCCCTTTGCCATATCCTATCAATAGAACCATCTATTTCTTTCAAGCTCATGTTTATCTACATTTTCCATTAAATGCATCTAGGCTGTGGTTCTCTGCCTTGTTGTAGTGAATTCAAATTACTTTTGAGTAAAAAGGTTCCTTCTCAGTCCCTCCTAGATTTATTCATTCAGTTTGTTAATAGCCATTCAACCTTACTCACATTAACTGGCAAGGAGATTTTTCATATGTAATCCAGTAAGCAATGCTGAAAGTACAAGCAGGTCGAACACCATCTGTGAAGAGAGAAACAGAGTAAATGTTGCCAGTTGATAACCTTTTCACTGGCAAACAGAAATGTTAATTATGTTTCTCTCTACAACCTTACTGCCAGATGTAGTCAATATTTCCAGCATTTGCTGCTCTTTCTTCAGACTCCCAGCAACCTGAGATGAGGCCAGTTAGAAAGATCCGAGAGTTGATATTAAGCTATTTTTACATTGAATGTAATCAGCATTGTAACTTTTCTGTAACTACCTGATACAGAAAGAAGCTTAAAGTCAGATCCATCATTAGTACCTTAAGTGCGTGATTTTGCACAGATCAGATTTGTTTGTATGTTTTAATATTATTAATTTGGATTGCCACATTGCAATAAGTGAAAACTAGAAGTTGACGGCCAAATGTTGCTAATGTCGTAGAATGTATTATAAATTAGGTTTCAGTTAACCAATTCCATTCTAACTTTCAGAAACGCCGCTCTAGCCGACAAGTAAAAAGAAAGAGATACACAGAGGACCTAGAATTTAAAATATCTGACGATGACGATGCAGGAAAAGATTCACCATTAAGCACTTCACAGTCTGAACAGGTATTGGTCACAAGTCAATGACTGAACAATCTAGATCCTTTTAATGAGTTGGACAATGTTATGCTTTGTATTTAAGTGCCATATAAATGTAGTAAGAAGACATTTCAATTATTTTCTCATGTGAAATAATGCATGAACAGTTTTATTCATATTAGTCAAGTTTTTTTAAAACACAATTTGCATTTTATAATTTTAAATATTAATTTTGTTTACAACATTTATAAAAATGGACAATAGACTGAGTATTTTATGTCGCACTCATCCAAAGTTGGTTAAATGGTGCTCAATACCTTTTTAATCTCATCTAAAATATGAATTCACATGTAACAACTGGCTCTGTACTGGAGGAAAATCATTATTTTACAATCACCAGTGGTAAAATTGCTATTTGCACTTTGAGCGCGAGTTTAAATCTAAAAATGAGCAAGTATGTAAAAAGGAAACATGGCTAGGATGAATATGGATATTCATGAATATGAATATTTTAAAAAGCAGATTCAGGAGAATTTATAGCAGGAAATAGAGAAATGGGAGTGAGCAAAACAATAATTTTGACTCTTTTCATGGAAGGAAGTTACCAGAAATCTCCCAGAACCAAAGATCCAGGTAACTTGGGAGAATGAGCAGTTGAAGGAAATTACTATGAGTAATAAGGTTATACTAGAGAAATACCGGTCCAAAAATGTGCAAGATAGGTGGATTGGCCATGCTGAAAAAAATTTCCTCAGTGTCCAGGAATGTCTAAGTTAGGTGGATTAGCCATGGGGTATTAAACCCCATGCGGGGTTACGGGGATAGAGGCGGGGGAGGGTTTCCAGCTGGGATGCTGTTCAGAGAAGTGGTGCAGTCTTGATGGGCCAGATAGCCTCTATTTGTACTTAGATATTCATAGAATCATAGAATTCCTTTGAAAAGTGCAAAATATTTGAAAAGATAGACAGGATAGATGCAGGTAAGACATTTCCCCAGTTGAGAATTTTTAAAATTTGAGGGCAGTGAAGCCCATAAGAAATTGGAACAGGAATAGGCCATTCAGCCCCTCAAGCCAGCCGTGCCATTCAACAGATTCATGGCTGATCCAACATTCGTCACATCCACTCTCCTGCCCTTTCCCTGTAACAGTCGATTCCCTGACTGATCAAGAATCTATCTATCCAAGCCTTAAAAAATACACACGATCTCTGCCCCCACAGCGGTCAAGTTCCAAAGACTCTCAACCCTCCGAGAGAAGAAATTCCTCCTCATCTCAGTCTTGAATTGGTGTCCCTTCATTCTGAACATATGTCCTCTGGTCCTAGACTCTCCTGTGAGGGAAAACATCCTCTCGGTGTTTACCCCACCCTCTCAAGCCCTTTAACAATCCTTTCTATTTCATTGAGATCAGCTGTCATTCTTCTAAATTTTAATGAGTAGAATCCCAACCTTTGCTCATAAGACAATCCTTCCATACCAGGGTCATCCTATTGAAACTTCTCTGAACTGCCTCCAATGAAGTGCTGTCTTTCCTTAAATAAGGGACCCAAAACTGCTCACAGTACTCCAGATGTGGTCTCACCAGCACCTTGTACTGGTGCAATTAAACTTCCCTGCTCTTATGCTCCAACCCCTTTGAAGTAAGAGCCAACTTTGGAGGCTTTGGAATTTTTTCTGTCAGAAGTCTTTGGCAGCTCAGGCTTTGAGTGCATTTGAAGTAGAGTTCATTAATTTTTGATTATTAATTGCATAAAAGATTATGGGGATAGTGAGAGTAATAGATATTGAAACATTTGATCAACCATGACAGCTGAATGGCTAGCTCCTGTTCCTATATTCTTAGACAAGCAAGTATGAAATATTTTAATTAGATTGCTGCATTTAATCCATTATTGACCCTGATTTTATCACTTTTCTATCCTTTTCAGTATCAAAAACTGTAATTACCTGATTGATACTTATTGGTTGATTCAGATGAATGACCATTCATAGTGGCCAGCACCTGAAACTGTGAAGAAAATCTTTTGTAACTGAGTTTCGGTATTCTATATGGCTGTCATTTTCATTGCATCGATGTTTAGTGACATGGAAATCCTCACCATGTGCTTCTGTCATACATGCTGTATCCAGGCTGACAACTTGAATGTATATTTACACGTGGAGCTTACAATAGTCATGCATTTTGGAGTGGAATGTTGTGTCAAAAGTCTTTCAAAAATTATGACATAGGAGTTGAGGGTAATGTGTAAAGTAAGTGGATGTTCTGTGGCAATGGTTGCGATAAGTCCGAGCATGTATCCTCTATTATGATGTCCATATTGCAATTTCTCTCTACCTCATTGTAACTGTTATAATTCTAGTTCCTTCTCTTACTAACTTCCTTTTCTCCTCGCTCTCTTTTTATCCGTCTCTCAGACTCCGCCCCCCCCTCCCCTCCCCTCCCCATTCTTAATGGGGAACCCAGCTGGTGTCAGTGATTGGATGGTTGCTGGCCAAGTTGGAGCTTAGAATAACAATGAAGTGGGAAGAGGTATGCTGAGGAAAGAAGCAGTTCAGAGCTCAGGTTTGTGGAGGAACTATCCAGGCAATGCTGGTGTGAAGTATTGGATATTAGTGTGAAAGCTGATAGATAGCAAGAAAATGAAAAGAGTAACACTCACTGAGGATGAGGTGTGCAGTGCTGCAGACCAAGTTATGAATATTTTTCAGGTGTTCATGTCTGGGTGAGAAGAGGAATGCTCGCAATGGTGAATGCAGCCTGCTGGTTGAACTGCGTTTTAGCCAAAGGCAAGGAAAATGCCGTAGTGTGGGAGGGAAAGGGAGAAGTCAAGGGAAGCAACTGAATGGCAACTCATTAAAGGCAAATTCAAGAAATCCCTGCCAGTATGCTGGGTTGGTACTCTTTTTAAAGGTATACTCCAGGATATTGATGTAAATCCTGTTTTTAAGACTGTGAATATATTAATAGTATTGGTAATATCATGAGGATTCCATTAAGACATTCTCACCTGTCCAGATTAACCAGCATTTCAAATGCATCCAGACAACAGTTGCATGGAGCCTACAAAGAGGCCAGTGAAGGACTGCAGGAGCAGTAAGGTCCACTGAGCAGGAAGGTTGTTTATAAGTTACTGAGTTGGGATAGACCACTCCACAAATGCAAATTAGCAAGAGAAATCCATTCAGCTCCCCACCAAGTGTGCCATTACGTAAGATTGTGGCTGATCCAAATGTGGCCTTAACTGTACTTTCCAGGCAGCCCTTTTATATCCTGTGACTCTCACGAAGGGGCCATCAAGCTCAAAACAAGTTATGTATGGGAAGGTTGGGAATTCTGAGTTGGTCTGAAACGTTAGTGGGAGCTTGGTGGAGATATATATTAAAATAAAAGGATTGATTTTAAAATAAGCATTCTAGATGCTGGAGCAACTCAACAGGTGTGGCAGCATCTATGGAGAGAAAGACAAAGTTAATATTTTGAGCCCAATCTGATTCCTCCCTGACCCTGTGCACTGATCTTGGGGTAGCCCAGCAGATGCCAGTGATCAGAGTCTCCTAGCCATGGGCACTTGGAGACCAGAACCAAAATAAGGTGTTATAAACTTAATTTAAATAATAGGTTCCATTTTCATTAAATTAACTTTCTAACAAATGAAGATAACATGGCTAGCAGAGCTGGAACAGATTTGAGACTCATGGGAGTGCCATCAAAAGGTGGGAACCTATGACAACATTGTTACAGGCCACTTTTAAATTGGGGTTTTACTTTTTCAAGGTGTTGGAAAAAAAAAGTCACTCAGTATTTTGACCTAGGCAGTAGAGTTTGTGGACAAAATCATTGTACTTCAAGCTGTAACATGCCAATCCATTGTGTGCATGGGATTCCAAATGGCATTTCCTTCAGTGTCCGACATAACAGACTTGAGGAAAGTGATAGGTCATGGAATAAAAAGGAGAGTTGCAACATGGATACAGGTTGGCTGAGTGATGGGATTTCTTTTATTCACTTGTGGGACATGGGCATTGTTGGCTGGGCCAGTATTTATTGCCCGTTGCAAAGAAATGGGTGGCCACAGGCAGACTTGCCTGGATTAAAACCCTGAAGCACCATTTGGTTTTGGTGACCCAGGAATAATTGGCTTTAAATGACTCAATAATAAACCTAATTGGCAATCTTGCTGCCAGTGGGTGGGACTTTCATGTTATGTTGTCTTCTTCCACCACCACTAAATTGGGAGTCATTTTCTTTACACTGGGAATCGGAAATAGGTCCTGTCTGATTCTCCTGACTGACCACTCTCCCACTTTTCTGCCACCAATCCCCAGTGCCATCATGTGACTCCAGTGGGTTCCTTTAAATGCTGCCCAGTGGCTGGAAATTGAAGATGTATCTTACAGAAGAGAACGCAGAGGCCAGACTGGTCTTCTGAAACAGTAGAGAGCCCTTTGATTTAAATGCTGGCTACCTGCTGTCTTTCATTCCCAGTATGAATAAACAGCACCAATGTCTTGGAAGCAAAATGACGTTCTCCTGCTGTCCTGACTAACATTAATGCCTGAAATGACATCACTAATGCAGATCACTAATGCGTCATTCTCAGTTATATTTAGGTCAGGAGCAGAATTGAGTTCAATGTGCCCATTGTGTCTTTCTTTCTCAAGTCCTGAAAAGTTCCAAGGTTGGCATATTAAAAATAAGCCATCTGTTTTAAAGTGAAACCTCTTTTTTGTTCCCCCCTCTGTTCCTTCTGTTCCTACACCCCGAAGAAACAAAACCAAAATTTAAAAAATGCAAATATAATTTCTGTAAACAAGGTGGAATAAATGTTTGTCTGTGATGTGTCAGGGGCCTGAATCATAATTTCCAACTTGTTTGAACACATTTTACTTTACATTGTTGGCTTTAGCGAAGAAACGACCTGAAATGTAATTGTGTTTCTCTGCTTCATCTCTTGATTTTTGGTTTGAATTGTAATGTGTTGTAACGAGTATACCATCCACAAAAATTACAGAATGCAATTTTTGCTGTAATGGGTTATCTTTTATTTTTGAGGGACTGCCACAATTTGCATGCGGTTGGGATTTTTTGGCGTTGCTAGTACTGTTTATATACAGGATTTTGAAAATCTCAAACAGTAGGTCTTGCACCTATAGTAAATTATCTGGCAGTTTAAAACGTATCCCATAGTTGTTGTACATTGATTGGTACTGTATTAAACAAGTTTACCAGATACTGAGTATTTTGTTGGAAACCACTTCCTTCAGAAGAAGAGCAGCAATATGCAAATTATTCAAGGAAACTGTCTAAAATCTTAGACCTGAACAGTAGAGCAAACAAGCATTGTGATCTAAAAAGTATTAGTTTTAAGTAGATAAATCATTTATAAATAAATTCAGAACAGTACTTTAAATTTTGACTGCTGCTTTGATTTTAATTTCCTAATCAAAACTCACTTGATGAACATTGATGCCCTTTCATAAAGTCATAGAGACAGCACAATAACAGACCTTTCTGTCCAACGTGTCCATGCTGACCAAATTTCCCAAACTAAACTAGTCCCACTTGCCTGCGTTTGGCCCATATCCCTCTAAACCTTTCCAGTCATGTACCTGTCCAAATATCTCTCAAATGTTATAACTGCACCTGCATCTACCACTCCCTCAGGCGGTTTGTCCCTCTTACAAACAACTCTGTGTTTAAAAATTGTCCCTTAGGTCCCTTTAACAATCCCAGAGCCTTATTTCTCTTGCAAGGAGTTTGTGAGATGAATTTACTCAGATCCCTAGATGGTGCTACTAAAGCAACTGAGGCTTTTTGCAAGGAGCATATGTGTTCATGTATGTCTGTCATAAATTCAGATTCACAACTGTTTTTATTATTGAATAATTCTTTCAGGAGTCTGCAGCTGGTCCAGTTACTGAGAAGATCTTGAGCATGCGAGTGGTGAAGAAAACTGTAAGCAGTAACATTCTCTTGTAAGGCATGTAGGGAGTAATTGACTAACTGGTCTTTTCATAATCCTTAAGTACAGATATTGGATCTGCCAGTAACAGCTGGCAGCCATGTAACAGTAGCAGGTCAAAATTTGGGCATTTAGGTCTTTATAGCGGTTGTTGATTATATGAATTGAGTATAATTTTGTATTGTGATTTGTGAATGATACTGAAAATGCATCGGTGTAAATGTAACCTTCTGCAAACAACAGAACATGATTGTGAGTTTATTAGAGGGACAATATTTTAAATTATAACACTTTTTTGAGATTAATTTTTATGATTGCCAACAATAATACATGTGGCTTCCAGTAGTGCAGCTGTAAACTGCTGCTGCTGCTTCAGGAAATGGTACATTTGGCATCTGCTTAACGCTGTGGGTTTGGCAGGCAGCCAGGTCGAGGTCAAGTTATTGTGAATGAAGTAGCTGGTGGTTAAGGAGGAGATAAAATGATTCATGAGTTGGTTGACACAGTAAGTAGAGTAGTTGGAATTGATAGCTTTTCGTAAGGATATTGCAGGGGGATAAAGTAATCCCTGCCAAAGGAAACTTTTGGTGTTCTTTGCGTTCTAATACTACTTAAGCAGGTTATAACTGTGTCCCTAACCACTTTATAGTGAATTGCCTGAAGATTTAAATGACAGTGACAAATGGTTGTGTTGACATCAGATTCTAAAATGTGCTTGTGATTTCAGACTGAGTCTGGAGAAGAGGTGGAAGTGGAAGAGTTGTTTGTCAAATACAAAAACTAGTAAGTATGTTTGCAGATTAAACTTAATCCGAAATGGTGCTTAGGCATTCTTTCCCTGAATGGGTGACATTGTACCATAAAGTAGATTGATGAAAATTATGTCCTTGTGGAAATTCATAAGGGTCCTGCCCTCAGCATGATTTTGAAAGCTATTAAGTCGAAAATTAATTATCCTCTGACTCAGTTTGTATGCTGCTGAATGTTCTCATGAAAGCATTGATAGCTACATCATATTAACTGAGAAAGTCTATATGCTTGCACTTCACTATTTCCTTGAAATATCTCCAATATCATTCATTAAGCATTTTAAAAAACTGTAAATAATCAAGTGGAAACATAACATCTAGCCATCAACAAAAGCAACAGAGTTTCAGAAATTTTAAAAAAGCAAACACTGGCTGCTACTTACTATCAATGACCTGAGGCCATTACAAAGTTTTAAAAATAGATTTGTGACGTAACATCTTATGCAAACACAAAATACCGAGCAAACCAGACAGCATCTGTGAAGAGAGAAGCTGTCTTGTCTTTTCGGATCTGTGACTC